ATACTTGTTAGTCAATATGATATTAGATACCAAATCTAAATTACTAAAATATATATAAAAAAGTTAGCTTGCATTCATTCAATGCTTTTTGAAAAAGTAAAAATTCTGAGTTCCTCATCCTTGATTTGATGAGATACATCGCGTTACCTAGGTGCATTGTCGTTTAGGCGCACGCGCGGCCCGTTATAAAGTCGCGGGTCCCAACTCTGTTGACATGAATGGTATGAAATTGATATTTCACTCACTAATGCATTGAGTCTTATGTTTATTTGGTTCTACTGTCGATTTCCTTGAATGCTTCATGGCACATACACATCAGGATTTCATTAAACCTCCCGGTTGAATTAACGCTCCTCGACGCAATTATGACAATTGCACAAGTAATTTGATTCGAATTCAAATATTTACATTTTCTAAATCACTTACTTTCCATTCACATTTAAATGAGAAAATGTTATGCTCTGCTTTTATTTGAAGAACAAAGAGCCATGTATTTGGTAATTACCGATATATCGAAGTAGATAATGATCCAAGTTTCTGTCAGACCGGTTTCATGTTTTTTCTGGAGTTTTTTCTAAAAGTGTTACAATCAAGATTCCTGGTTATACAAGTTGAAGTCAAAAAGTAAATGTTACTTTCTTTCCAAGCTTCAAGTTTAAAAAATACATTATTACAAGATTCATACACACGTGGAACTGTCGTTTAATGGTTGAGCTGCTCGACTTCTATCAGAAGCTCCTGGTTCAATCATTATGAGCTTAAAGCTCAAATTCACAACGAATCTGAATTTTCGGATCGGAAGGCCTCAGAAAATAGAATCTGTGTGTATGAATAGGGACGCTGGCGTTCAGCACATCGGAAACGCTGTCCAAATTTTGGTTCGGATCGTGAATGCAGTTTAATACTGTACAAATGAAAGCAAGACACATGTTAGGCAATTTTATCATCATACGGTCCGATTTGAAGTCCATCACACAGGATAAATCCTGGTAAAGAACTAAATGGATATCTACGCCTAAAATCGTATAAAAACTCGATGTACTGTTATGCTGCGATAGAGATAGGCCTAATAGAATTGTAATCTGCTGAAAATGTATTATTTATTATCCATTATCTTTTGATAGTTGTATATGCCTAACAGTTTAATTTGATTGAATAGTATACAATACACAATACACAATACATAGGCCTATTAACGGTACGCATCAAACTCATGTTGATCGAAATGGATCACCGTTTTGTACTACATAAATATATGCCTGTTCACTACAATGCATATAAGCTATACTGGAAGAATAATTAGAATAAGAATGAGGTACGGTATTCGTTAACATAATTATCACTATTATCGTATTATATTATATATATATACTTGAAACAATACCACTATTGCCATACACACATACTATCATCATGTTATATATAGGCTACATATATAGGCCCTACATGGCCGTAACTTTTAATGGTATATGTCGTCGCTCACATCACGAACTAACACAATCAAAGTAGATTGTGTTAGTTCGTGAAATCACAGTAGCGCGTCAAAACGAGCGCGTATTGGTTGTCAAGCAATTTTGTATTCTTTACCACACAAAAAGTC